GACCGTGCTTACATGAGTGACTCAGATACAGTACTTTATTATTTAAAAACACCTGACAGTTTGTGAGGAAATAGCTTTATTTTTATAAAGTAAACATATTTCCTTTTAGTATCAACAGCTACATCAATGTCCAAAATCTATTTAAATGGAAAAACCTCTGAGAAATTCAATTAATTTCAATGAAATGTTACTAAAGTATAGATCGTATGTTAGTATTGCAGCTACAGGATCAAAAAGTAGCGCAGAAGATATCCTACATATTGCAACTTTAATTTTAATTTGTTACTTTGTTCCTAGAAAGCTGATTCAGTTAATCTAGATTCAGATTTTTCTTTTGGTTCAGGCTCATGCTGGTGGTGTAATGGTTTGGGGAACATGTTCATGGGACTGACCATGTCGCGTTATGACAACAGTGGTTCCATCTTCTGATGGCTACTTCCAGCAGGATAACACATAAAGTCACAAAGCTCTTATTATCTCAAGCTGGTTTCTTGGACATGGCCTCCATACTCACCAGATCTCAATCAAATAGAGCACCTTGGGAATGTGGTGAAACAGGAGATTTACTTCATTAATGAGCATCCAAAAACTGTGTGATGCAGCAGTGTGATGCTATTATGTTAAAATGGACAGAAATCCCCGAGAAGAGTTCCCAGCACCTTATTGAAAGCAGTTCTGAAGGCAAAAAGGGGTCAAACTTCATAAGAGCAAGGTGTACCTAATAAATTATCCAGTTTAATTAGCAATGGTGTCAGTGCCACACAGGAATGAGAACATTACATAATCAGTGATATTCTAGGATTCACAGGATTGCTCTGAAAATATAAAGAACCAACAAATTTGAGTGTTTGTAAGGTTTTCGCAAACGTTCTGCATTTTCTCTTGTTAGTGTGAATAAAGACATTTCTCCTTTATTCCGAAATGTGGTTCATTTCATTTTAAACTAGTAAGGAGATATCAAAAAAATAAATAAATAAAACCCTCTGGTTTTATCCACTTTTTCCCCATAAGATCTGCTCTTAAGTGGTGAAGGACAGAAGCAAGGACATAACTGGTAGGCGGAGACTCTCAGTCCAAGCAATCTCTCATATGAGCTAAGGGTGCCACAGTAAATGTCTGGCCTTCGCATTTATTTCGCTCTCCTTCTTTTCCCCTCCCCTGTCCAGAGAAGTGAAGCACTTAGTCTAATGTGAATAATGACGATGACTGTTTTCCAGACTGGCCCTCATCCACTGCCCTTATTGAGAAAGCACTAAATGGGCCAAGATTTACTTCTATAAACGACATCATCTCTCTCGCTCTCTTTTTTCTTCATCCACCTCACATCTTTCTTTAGCATTCTAGTTTTTTCTTTTATGCCTTTATGTCTGTTATTGCATTTTATCTGCTACTGTTTTCATTTTTCCGTTTGCTTCCTAACTTAGGCTGATTGCTTAACTGTTTGCTAAACTGATTTAACTGATTGCTCATGATCATTTTGCACAGTGTCTTTTATTCATTAAGGATAACTTAGCTTGTAGCCAGAATCAAAGTGAGTTCTTTTTCTTCCACACCTTTCACTCTGTTTCCAGTAGGGTATTTGGCTCTGAGCTGTTCATGCATTTTACCGCTTATTCCTATTAACCTATTAGTTTAAAATCTATGCGGCTATCTAGTCTTGGCTCACACTGTCTCATAAAGAATTATGGATAGCTTACAGTATTTCGCCCCTCTCTCCATCTTTCTCTACAGCCAAACATTTTAGAGTTGCCTGGGATGCAGATTAAAAGTAAAACCTCCTCCACCATTCAGAAACAGACCATTCAGCAGTCCGTTCAGAAACAGACAGCCTTTAGATCAGATGCCATGCAGAGCTTGTTTTGTTTGACAAGTCCAGCTCAATATTGTAAAAGTGCTACTTTTTGGCTACTCTCTTATTAATAAGGGGTCACCACAGCAGGTAGCTCCACATATTTTTGATTTGACAGATTTTTACACCCAACATCATTAATGATGCAACCCCCAAGGGATAAGTGTCTCCTATTGGGAGCTTGTATTAGAAATCTTATTTAGCCCCATTAAGAGGAGGAGGATTGGCTATCGGAGGCTTGTGATTCGCTGGCAACCTCTTTAAGTCATACCAGGGCCTTTCCTGGACACGTGGGTATAAAGTAATGGCATGGCAGGATTGTTATTCATTTATTTAAGCAGCAGATACTTTTTACAAAATATGATTTCTAAAGGAAGAGCTACTTCATAGGTGTCAAACTCTGGCCCGCGGGCCTAATATGGCCCGCAGCCTAATTACATTTGGCCCGCGAAGCCATACCAAATTACTATTAGAGCTGGCCTACTGGTATTATACAGCTAATATATATATTGTTTAGTATTAAGCTTTGCTTGTTCCATATTCAGTTTTTCAGCAAAACTTGTTTGAGTCCATAAGAAAAGATTCATTCTTATATCTAGAGGAAGATTTTATTTCAATAAATATTAATGTTAGCCCGCGACTTTGTTCCAGTTTTGAATTTTGGCCCACTGTGTATTTGAGCTTTGACACCCCTGAGCTACTTGAAGTTCTGTCAGTGTGTCTGGAAGCACAAAAACAGCTGCACTTAAGCACTGAGCCAATCACTTATTAAACTCTCAGTCTCAAAAGCATTTAAAATGTAAAATAATCAATAAATAAAAGATATGAGTCCAAGTCTATAATTTGTTGTTTCTTCATCAGCATTTTCAGCTGGCTTTCCTGACTTTTTGTCATTTTAGAGAGAATAAGTCATGAGTTGTGCTGCAGGGCTGAAATATGTGTGTGAAGTGCGTGCTAGTTCAGGGAATGTTCAGGGAATTCTTTGTTGTGTTAAACACAGAGAAAGCTTCAGTGAGGACAAAGTTTGCATTATGATGCCTGAGGCTAGCCTGCAGGGTTAAAAGGGAGTACATATATGGATGCATGGAGACACAAAGACATCAGCTGGGAGTTCAGTCAGAGGTTTATGATGATAAACACACGATGAACATCACAGGGTTGCACGTGGAACACAAAGGGCTCTGCTAAGGAAGAAAACATCTACATTACTTGTTACACTTTCCTGCTTTTCATCTACCCTCTCCTTCTTCTATACATCCATGAATCCTCTCTGAGGTCTTCCTCATTTCCACCATTTTTTCACTATCTACAGTATTCCAGCATACTAAAGCCATGCCTAGTGGCCATAATCTACAGGGTGGGCCATTTATATGGATACACTGTAATAAAATGGGAATGGTTGGTGATATTAAAGTCCTGTTTGTGGCACATTAGTATATGTGAGGGGGCAAACTCCTCAAGATGGGTGGTGACCATGGTGGCCATTTAGAAGTCGGCCATCTTGGATACAACTTTTGTTTTTTCAATAGGAAGAGGGCCATGTGACACATCAAACTTATTGGTAATGTCACAAGAAAAACAATGGTGTGCTTGGTTTCAACGTAACTTTATTCTTTCATGAGTTATTTACAAGTTTCTCTTTGTTCACCCATAATGTGGTGGTGCACCATCTTGCTGGAAAAACTCAGGGAACGTGCCAGCTTCAGTGCATAAAGAGGGAAACACATCATCATGTAGCAATTTCAAATATCCAGTGGCCTTGAGGTTTCCATTGATGAAGAATGGACCCACTATCGTTGTACCCCATATACCACACCAAACCATCACTTTTGTTGTTCCAACAGTCTTGGAGGGATCCATCCAATGTGGGTTAGTGTCAGACCAATAGCGGTGGTTTTGTTTGTTAACTTCACCATTCACATAAAAGTTTGCCTCATCACTGAACAAAATCTTCTGCGTGAACTGAGGGTCCTGTTCCAATTTTTGTTTTGCCCATTCTGCAAATTCTGTGCGCCGATCTGGGTCATCCTCGTTGAGATGCTGCAGTAGCTGGAGTTTGTAAGGGTGCCATTTGTGAGTAGCTAATATCTGCCGAAGGGATGTTCGACTAATGCCACTCTCCAGTGACATGCGGCGAGTGCTACGCTGTGGGCTCTTGCTGAATGAAGCTAGGACAGCCACTGATGTTTCTTCATTAGTGACAGTTTTCTTGCGTCCACATTTTGGCAAATCCAACACTGAACCAGTTTCACGAAACTTAGCAAGCAGTTTGCTAACTGTAGCATGGGAGATGGGTGGTCTCGTAGGGTGTCTTGCATTGAAATCTGCTGCAATGACCCGGTTACTGCGTTCACCAGATATCAACACAATTTCGATCCGCTCCTCACGTGTTAACCTCTTCGACATGTCAATGGCTGTGAACAAAGAGAAACTTGTAAATAACTCATGAAAGAATAAAGTTACGTTGAAACCAAGCACACCATTGTTTTTCTTGTGACATTACCAATAAGTTTGATGTGTCACATGGCCCTCTTCCTATTGAAAAAACAAAAGTTGTATCCAAGATGGCCGACTTCTAAATGGCCACCATGGTCACCACCCATCTTGAGGAGTTTGCCCCCTCACATATACTAATGTGCCACAAACAGGACTTTAATATCACCAACCATTCCCATGTTATTACGGTGTATCCATATAAATGGCCCACCCTGTATAACCGAGAGAGCTGTTTACATCCTCACACTTTATTACTGAACGTAATACTGTGAGGAGGAAACAATGCAATTTGAAGATGTCTTCCACCAGCCAGGGGTCATGCTGGGGTCCAGACTGTTTATTTGTGTGTGTGTGTGTGTGCGCGCGCGTGTGCGTTAGACTGATTGACAGCCTTGACAGTTTTGGCAGTTATAAGATTCGGAGGTGAGCATTTTGATTGACGATTCCATGTGGGTGGCAGCCTGTAGATTAAAACCTCTAGTAGACAACACACACACACACACACACACACACACACACACACACACACACACACACACACACACACACACACGCACACACACACACACACACACAGTCGACTCACATTTATTACTTGGAGGCATACTGTAAGCCATAACTATCATTCACTGTCTTACCGTAATGCCGTTCTGCCGTTACTGTCTCATCTCTACATTTAATACACTATAGAACAAACGTGTGGGTACGCATAGATGAAAGAAGACCAACTCAGTACTTTGCTAAATGAATATAATTTATTCAAGTGACCTCACAATTACAACTATACTTTTATAGACACTGCATGAATAAATAAATAGCTGTAATTTCACTGTCAACAAACATCATTTTCAGTGCTGCATTTAAAGGTAAACTAATTTGTTCCTATGCTTTTTTCTTTTTTTTCCTGGTATATACATTTATCACACAAAAATACAGCGTCATTGTTATTTACGACATAGAGCCAAAAACGTGTCAGTCCACCAGCTGACGTTGATTCTTTTCTGTGTGTGCGTTCCGGTTTGTGGATGAACCCTGGAAACTACACACTCATCTGTTGAGGAGAACATTTACATTCACATTTAAGTCCAATGAGATTGCCTGACACTTTGCATAGCATCAGACCAGACCGCCCTGTTTGAAGCTGAAGCTGATTTATCATCGATCCTAAAACTGGTTCAGGTCAGATCAGGATCTAGTAGGTCCTACTATACCTCAGCTGATATGGCTGCACATGGGGATCAAGTCCCCTTTGCTCTCTGTAGACTAACTTCAAGGCCATTCTGCCATCTTAAAGGATGAAGGCTGGTGTTATTCTAGATCTTTTACATTGCGACCTAATTGCCTAAAAAGGCAAAAATCATAAATAATATGATTGTAACAAGTTTTGCCACTGAAGACGAAACCTTAGCTTTCCTACCCCCAAAACAAAACACCATACTTCTGGGATCAATAAGGATCATGTAAAAGGTTGAAAACATTTGGGAAACAGCCAGTTAAAATCCTTAAACTTTCCAGATTAAAACAGGACCCATCGCCTGTTCAAGATCACCTGTTGGTGCAAGTCCAGACAGCTTCCAGCACATCTGCTATTTTTTGTCACTCAGTAGCAGTCACATTCACTTGTACCTCTGCCAGTTATGCTTGATCTCCTCCGGTGTGCCAACACAGTAAAGCTTTAACTCCATTTATATTTTTGGCAAGTGCTCACATCGTTTGAGGTCATGTTTTTTCAGATGCCAGTAGAGCAGTAGGACTCCACAATGGTAGTCTCACCCTTCTTGTCGTACTCATGAGCTGATGTTGCTCCTTCATGGTTTGAACCTACAAACCTCGATCAGTTTGAAGCAGATGTTGAGGTTTGTGCACAATTTTGAGGTCTGTGATAAAATCTCACAGAGCAAGTGGTCATAGCAGGACTATCAGAAAGCAATGCAAAAATAGCAGCAGCACAAGAAGCTATCTGAGAAGGTGATCTTGAGGGAAAAATGTAAACCAGGTATAGCTCGCTGAACTTTTTGAGGTCAGAGAGGACCAAAAGACCAACTAACACATTGTTGATTTCGGTCTCACTTGGTAATAATTGTTGACAAAAACATCTAGAATATTACCAGCCTTATCCTTCAATGGAAAAATATTTCATACATGTCACCTTTTCAACATGTTCCTAAATCACTCATTTTTTTACCACTGACGTTTGAATTAAGGCAAGTCCATAAGATTCAAAAAGACACCAACGAACCACAACGATGCTAAGAGGAGATAAACACAGTGAAGTCAACTGGACAACAGTAACACATAACAATGCCAAAAATCTTCTTAACTTGACAGATTTTTTTGTTTCTTTTGTTCTTTTTTCCACACAGGGCAGCAGTGTGTCTGGTAGTTTAAAACTGCCAGGCCCGTGACAATGTAAGGACTTAAACTGAACAATGTATGAGGGTGCTCAATCAAGTAACACTTCAACGTTCATCACTGCTAATATCGCACTGTAACACACTCCTCACAAACCATAATTTTTGAACCTTTGTGCAGCATTAATCAAATGTCCTGAGGGCTGATCGACTTGGGGCCGGATCGATGATGACTGGTGCTACTAACACCATCCTGGAGGAACAATCATTTCCTGTCCCCACTAACCTGCTGTGGCTGGCCAGTCAATACAGCTTTAGGATGAGAAAACAAACTATCATAGGCGCGCGCGCACGCGCACAAACACACACACACACACACACACACACACACACACACACACACACACACACAAACACACACACACACACAACACACACACACACACATTTCAAAATGGCTTCTGTGAGTTCATGTTAAAAATAAAAATCACTGAAGTGTTCTTGATTACTTTCAAAGTTCACTGTCGCGTCTTGCATTGAGATTTATTTCCAGGCTGCTATTAGGTTCCAGTCATTTATAAAATCTGTTTGCAAAATGAACATCATGTGCTTTTACTGGTGTCAGTGTTACCATTCCAGCTGTAAATGAATGGTATTTTAAAAATGTATTCCCATTGTATGTTTGACAAAAACAACAATAGCAAATTGATTTTCATAATGCATTGAAATGAAGGGAAGACAATGGCTGCCTGGAAAGTACAAGGGGAAAGAAAGGTCACGGGGTGGCGTGTAATAAAGTCAGAGCTCCTGTCTAATTACTCTGATTCATGATGATTCAGCAGCACACAATTTAGGTTCAGTGCAGAACTTTAGTGTCAGTAGCAGGAAGCTTATGATCATTCTTTATGTCTCCCTGTGACCATCAAACTTTATTTTAGAATAAATACTGGATCAAATGACTACATCACCGAGCTCAGAACCACTCTTTTGTGCTCCAAACTATTGTTGTCGTTTTACTCACTGTTTTAGTTTTCTGATTTCACTATCACCATCTCATCAGCTCACATTAAAGAGATTGGGTTAAAATTACAATAAAGTTGTAACTTTAGGGACTCGTCAGTACTGACAAGAATAGCAAAGATCAAAACAGAGCTGAGCAGAAGCTTCATTAATCTCATGGATAGGTACTTTCGGTGGCTCCCTTAGTTCCACCACAGAGGATGTATCCGCATATTTTATTTGGCATGGATTTTTACAGTGGACACCCTTCCTGACGACACCCTGCCATTTATCCGGGTAGGGACTTGGGTCAAAATAGTGGGAGTACACTAGCTTGTGACCTCCTGAGGCTGGCTTTGTGTCTCCTCCCAGTTATGAACTGGTGATCTTTCGGGTGTAAGGCGAGCGTGTTAACCACAACACCACTGGGCCACCCATTGCATTCAAATGAATGATAATTTTGCCTTGTATCTATAAAACACCCCCACAATGAATTCTTCTTATGCTGTCACTCATTGATCTCTTTTGTTTAGTGTAATCTTGTCAATACAACAAAGATGGTAGTTAGCTTGCTAAGTGTTGGCAGTGAATGAAAAAAATGTTTTTATGGAACGCTGTTTGGGATTTTGCTGATTTAGTCAGTATCTTCTATTTGGTAAAGTCAGGGTTTGGTTATATAATTATGGACTTCAGCAAGAAGATTAAATCGAGCTGAAAACAGAACATAAAACTTGCAAACATCTACTTGTCTTCAGGTTTAAACAAGACATGGTAAAAATCAAATTTAGTAAAATGTATCTAGCTGTACAACGTGGGTCCTAAAAATATTATTGCTCTATCAATAACGTTGTTCTACATGAAACTCAAAGTATGATAAAAGCTTAGTTGTCAGGTGCATGTAAACGAACTTACGTATATTATGCTTTAAATAATGACTTGTAGATGTGGACACAGTTTCTTGGTTAGATATTGCACTATTTTCATGATCCACAACAAATCCTTGTAGACTTGCTCATATAGGCCTGCTGTACATCCATCCAAAGTTCCTCCGATCACTATAGCAGCACTTAAATGAAAATGGTTGAAGTTTCACAGAGTCGTGATAAGAAAACACAAGAATGAGTGTGGCATGATTCGCACAGATGATTGAGTCCGTTTGCTGTTTCTAGGCAAGGAATCTCAAAAAGAAGGAGGCACCATATTGCCGTCAGAAACTTTTGGAGTCACTTGAAAGCCACAGCAGATGCTCTGTTGATTTGGCTCCCAGTGTGGCAGTAGTAATTTTCCTGAAGAATATTGATGCCTCTTTTGACTGTTCCTTCTTCTTTACATTCCTTGGTTCTAGTTTACTTTGTGCCTTAAATGTCTAATCTTCATTGTGAAAAGCCTCTGGACTAGATGCCCCATCATCACTGAGGACCTCCGTGTTGGTAAAGGTCCCAGCAAGTGAGGCACCCAAGACCTGCCTGACAGGAGCCATCTCTGAAAGAATTATGTTATCATGGTTGCTTACCAGTGTTGCCTTGTCCATTATCTCCTTGCTGTGCTTGGAAACAACAGCATCCAGGAAGTCGTACTTATGTGACAGCATACCACTTTCAAATAGATACTTTGTCAGGTAAGAAAAAAACACATTGGCCAAGAAGGATGCCGCCATGGACACAGACTTGAAGGGGAACCTCTGCTGGACAAAGTGCTCTACATCTCCAGTGAGGTGATGGACCTTCTCCTGGGTCACCCAGCCGGGGTAATAGATGAATGGAGGTAGTTTGAGGTAGGGCTCCCCTCCACCAATGCGCAGCAGAAGACCAAAGATATAACCAGCCACAGAACCATAGGTGTTGGTGCCCTTAACGAACAGTACACTGAGAAGTTGGGGGAATATGATGACATAGACCAGATCAGAGCTCAGGTACCACAGGCCGTATACTGATCCTGTTAACAATGCCATGGCAGTGGCCAGAGCTCCGAACACAAAGATGGTGAGGCGCATCACCCAAACAATCTCCCGATCTGAGGCCTGTAAGGGAGATGAAAGGGATAAAAGAGTAAAGACAGAAACATAACAACTGGAGGGGAATAGGGTGTTAACTTAAATGAAAGTCAGTTCAGATAAAAGATTAGAGCCTACAGCTAAAGTAGTGTCTGTGTGAGGTTGCACTTAGATACGAAAGCGCTTGGAGATGTAGGTTCTGTTTGAAATTATTCACTCGTTTTCTTCTCCATACTCTTATTATTCAGGGAAACTGGATGTTGAGAAAAGGTGAGCTCAGTGGTACAACAAAACAACACTGTAGGGAGCTATTTGGTCTTAAAAAAACAGGTCTTATCGAGTGATTAATCCAATTGTATTTATTTTTTCCCTCCAATCATAATTAATATGTTCAAAGGAACATATTAATTATGGAAACCAGAAGAGAGGTATAAATATGTGTCTGCAGCCACTTTTACAACACAACCGAGGTTAGGGTTTGCATTTCAACCAGTGGTGTGGGGGATCTTGGAAAAAAAGCAAGCATATGATTTGCAATTGTTTCATTTTTCATTTTTTAGAATGACAATGCTCCCAAATACACAGTTAGTGCAATAAAAGGATGCCTAAATATATTTTTTCCTACCAAAATATAAAGAAAAGCAGGTTGACTTAAGACTTTTGCACAGTATTAGCATGCACAGTAATTTTCACAATTCTGAAAATTAATGTCTGTTACAAATGTGATGGGAATGAATAGCAGGAAATCTCAGTGGGACCAATTTGGCAGATTGTCTAACCATCTAACATTATCTAACAAATAATTATAACACAAACAACTTACAAAGATTTCCATCTCGAGGTTTCGGGTATTAAGCAAATTCGATAAAGTGCACATTTAATTTCTGCTGTAGGCTCTTGTTTGGTTGTATTTTTCGTATGAAAATAAAGTTGATTTATTGATAGGCTGACTGATGTTTGGAACCACTTGCTGAAATTGTGCAGACGTACGTGTATGCTAGGAATATTGCTCTTACCGACTGCCGAAACGCCAGCTGATAAATGTTCCTGGCAAACATGGAGCTGGCTGAGAGTATGGATGAGTCTGCTGATGACATGACCGCAGCTGACACAGCCCCCAGACCAAAGAAGGAGATGTACGGTGGGCAGAGGTGCTGAAGCACTATAGGAAGGATCATGTCAGACTCATCCTTATCCTTTGGAGGGAGGGAACCATATGTAGTTTGGTTCCAGTCTGAATCAGGACATGAGAAACAGATAAAAACTGATAATTGTAAACAATGCAAATTTCACAGCTTATTATTACGGCTCTTATGAAACATTTAGCCAACCAGTCAATCTTTGCACTCAACTGTCAAGATTATCTATGTGTTAAATTAGAAAAACAGTCATTAGCATTTGTCTTAATTATTGGTTAGAACAAAAAACAGAAAGAAAGTGCCTTGCATGAGGTAGTAACACAACGTAACTAAAGCTGAACAAACTGTACCTGGCACACATTCGCATTTTAAGATTAGTAGCATTACTTTTCCAGCCACCCTGCAGAAAATTAAGTGTACGGATTTCTTTATTACAATTTTTGATCCCTTAGTTTTTCAGACAAAAAAAGTTAATGCTCTCAGTGGATACACATGCTTTAAAGCTGAGAAACAAAAGGCCTTAATGTGCCCAGGTGCCTTAATAGCAGCACAGATTCAATCTGCTGTTGGTCAAAACACAATAAACCAAGCCACAGTAATAATAGTACGAATTAAACTGGATACTGACTGAAAACTAGACCCCAGTTCAACATAGACGAGGGTAATATACTGGTTTGTTAATGATCCGTGGAAGCATATGAGTCAGTATTAAATAATTATGGACATTATGTAGATTAACTGCATTTAACTGTTGTCGATTAATCATTGATAATGGTTAACATCATAAGGGAGCCAATAGTTCTGACAGGCTATGTTGAACTTATTAGACACAAAAGTATGCATGGACGCTGGCTGTACTGATACCCTCATCTTTGTTAAGCCAACATTCAGACGACTATGGTTTATATATATATATATGTCTTTCTCTACCCATCCCCAGATATTCATAGGCAGTGGTTGATTAGTGCCAGTTCTACAAGAAACGGCTTCAGATGGACCAGATTAATTAGCTCCTCTTCAGATGTAATATTCACTAAATTGCCATGGTCTGATGGCTCTCTCTCCTCTGCACGTCGTGACAGCATCCGTCTGCTGTTTACCCTCCAGACACTGTATACATCTGCATTTACACATCTGAAAAAAGAAAAGGGCTGCTGGGGTGTAAACAACCCCATGAAGCCAGGGTGCTCTCTTTGATCACACTTTCCCGTTTGAATAAAGGATGTGGTTCTTGGATGTTTCGATTGTCTTGTGATGTTTCATTTACTGCTTAATCACTGTGCATGTCTGTGCGTGTGCACATCCGTCTTGGATTAGTCTCTGATTAGCGTGTGTTTGCCTAAAAAGTCTGATTTAACAGCTGCAATCCAGACATAACAGCGTGTGTGCATATAAAGCACCAGTGGCACTGTATAGTGATTCATACTTCTACCTGTCTTTGTTGTCCTTGTAAATCTGGATGCAAATGACAGCTAGCTCCATTACTGCTTAAAGAAAGGATTATATATACTACGCTTGGGTACACTGTTTAAAAAGAACTGTTTCTGCACACTCATCTAATTCAGTTTATTAAAATATTATGGGACCCCATTTTAGCTTTAAGAATAATAATGTCTGATGCACCTGTGGGTGCATATTTGTGTTTGTGTCTCTGTGTGTATTATTACCAGTGGAAGCCCCTATAGCTCCTATGAGGACAGAGGGGACAGCCATGACCAAGCAACCGAAGGCAGCAAGGAATGAAAGGACCTGGGCGTAGGTAGCTGAAGAAGCAGAAAGAACCCGTTGAAAATAGACCTGCCAGGGAATCCCCCCCAACATCTAGAAACAGAAACACCAAACCAATGCATTACAATCAGCAGTCTGAAAAGAATACTGTGAATCTCTTTGTTTCTAGTAAAGATATCCATTTCAGTACTAAGAAACCGTTAAATGCTATGTGCCACAAATGGGTCTCTTAAACACGATGCTTTCATTTTGACTTCAGTGAAAGTGTGTCTGCAATTGACTTTAGAGTTGTATACTGTCTCTCGGTGAAACTTCAGATAAAAGTTATGGCTTACAAGCAAAAAGAAGTTGTCCGCCCAGAGCCAATTGTCTTCAGGCTCAATCTTCCCGAGCCAAGGAGATTGATAGATTGTTTTCTTGGCTGTAACACCGATGTCTGACACGGCAGGATTAGACAGAGCAAAAGGCACACTGATCCACTGAAAGGAGAAGAAAATCATAATGCAACATTAATACAATAAAACGTAAATATGGAATTATTGTATTTTTATACCCTTTCAAAATCTGGCTGTTGAAATCAAGTTCTACTCTACCCTGTGTTGTTGATACAAAAGATGTTTTTATCAATTTCATGTTTTGATATGATTCTGTGTGTATAAATTTAGATCTTTTTTTAAAGTTATGTTACTTAAAAAGTTACTTAAAAATCTTCTAGAACTGATAGAAGATTTGGTTTAAATATTGGCTAAAATCGTTAGAGCTGCTGGTTGAGTAGCTCCCAAACTCACCAAACCCAGAAAGATACAGAAGAGCTGGACCACATCTGTGTATGCAACAGAGTAAAGTCCTCCAACAAGTGTGTAGAAGATGGCTATCAGTGCTGAGATCACCACAGACATGTTGATATTTATATCCACTATCACACTGAGAGTCGCACCTGCATGGAAATATAACCAGTGTGAAGAAGAAAAAAAATATTCACTAAAATCTGGGTAACCTGATGTTTCACTCACAATGAGTTTGGGCATACAATGCAGTATACTGTAAAGCATAGATTAGATTTAAAGTGGTGAGATTCATGATCTCATCCATTGGGATGCCTACCCAAAGCGGACAAAATGGCTGCAGACCAGAAGATTTCTCCCATGAGTGCAGGGATGAACAGCAGACCACCCATCCTTTTTCCATATAGCTGCTGGAAGGGATCTAGCATGGTCACATATCCACGTGATCGCATGGGTTTGGCAAAGAAAAGCCCCCCTGAGTGATGTCAGATGTTGAGGTAATGCAGACAAAAAACACGAGAGAAGCATTTTAGAAAGTTGTACAGTACTACTAACTTAACGTAAAGTGTGCTGATGCTGTATAATAACCTTAATGAATAGACCAAATTCTATATGCTTCAGCAACACAGCTTAAATTTACATTTACTTTAATATCAGTCTAATAGCACAAAGATCAGTTTTCCTACACCTAAATATCATATCAATATGAATTTAATGTAAAGGAATTTCTGTCTTAAAAGTAGGAAAGCTTATTAATTTATAGGCAAAAAGTACATTACTACATTAAAACTACATTACATTACCTACATTAGGTGATGCAACTCTTTCCCTTTTTAATCTCGCTATAAGCAGATATGTTTATCCAAGTTTTTCTAGGTTTCCTACCTAGTACAAGGCTGAGAGCATAACCAAAGGGTGCCTGTGCCCAGGCCAGGCCGAAGCCTGGGAGGTAGACATATTCTGCTGTTCCATTAATGTAGCCCCCTCCCACCCAAGTGGCTGAAAAAGAAGAAGAAAACTTATTTGTAAATTAACAAATCAAAAGAAAATATACATTTCAAGTTTTCCGAACTGCATGAGTATAATGGTGTAAACTGTGATGGGAATTTCTACTTCTGCCCGCTGCGCAATCTGTGCGTAAAAGACGGAGCGGAAGACCCTAGTCAATGGAAAGTTTATTTAATTTTTGTCCTTTTGGACCTTACATGGTATGAAAATTGGACAAAATGCGCACATCGCTGCCGTGGAACAGACACCAAGAAATACAGATTTAAAGACTCACCGGTCATCGTAAATCCACCAACGAACAAGCCGATGTCCCTTCCCCCAACCATGATATTCTCGCTCCGATCTAAGCCATCGCCAACTCCAGAGTTCTTATTCTTCCACGCAGCCCAGATCCCCACAAACAGAATCAGGACATAGAAGAGCACGATAGCCACGAGACCCTCGACGTGAATGGTCATCTTCCTTTTCTCCGCTTCCCCGCCGAGATCAAGTGCTGCTGCGCGCGGACTGGATACTCATGGAGAAAACTTGGAAGAAACAAAGGAAAAAACCCTTTAATGATACATTTGTGGTTTGTCAGAAATAATAAAAACACACAATCCCAACCCGCAGAAACACATTTTAAGGAGTGCAGACAAACTGTAACTGCAACTACATGGAACTTCATTTCAAAACCTATCAATTTAATCAACCTGAAAACAATAATGTGTGACAAATACATTTCTTAAAAGAAACAAAACAGAAGCATTTTATCACCAGTGTGTCGGATGTAATACTGGCTAAGTCCAAGTGATGCCAGGCGCTTCCAACGCCGTTAGAAATTACAAAGTATTTCAAATTTCTTTTTCAGGCATTCTGCGCACATGCACGCTTACTGCAGATATTCAGCTGTTACAGTTTTAATGCTCCTTGTTAACCGAAGTTATATTAGCCTGAACAACTAATTATTTTCCCCTAAAAATAATAAATAATAATATATATTTTTATATATATATTATATATATATAATATATTATATATATATATATATATATTAATATTATATATTATATATATATTTATATATTATTTTTTTTTTTTTTTACAGAAGTAATCAGATTGAAATATTAGTAAACGTGAAAATGTAACAAGTAATACATCTATATATACTCGCCAATTATAGTTTAAACTCCTCGGGTTAAACTATATTTTAGATAAAATGACCGATTTGCAAATTCCTGCTCGGAAATACTGCGACCATGAATCTTACCGTATCCAGCAGGGACTTCAGCTTGTTTCACTAAATCAACAGATCGGAATCAGAAACGACGCAAACTCGATCCAGTGGTATCAGTCCAAGAGTGCGCACATTATTAGTGTTACTTTAGTTAGTTCTTTACAACAGCTGAACGTGTTTTAAACGCGTTATCCGCCCTCATTTACAGATATTCCTTTCGGTCACTTGACTTAAGTAAGTAGAAAAAACAACGTATTTACAACTTTACGCTTTCAAAGATTTGCACCCACATTTGCATGTTTCTGGTAACTCTATTGTGCGCAAAAGTCGGGCACTCCTTTGTAATGGCGATGCATTGGGGAAAAATCCGGTCCGTTTTCCAACAGATTCATAAAAACAGCTGCATTGATGAGGTTCGTGCTCAAACTCAAACCTGAGGTTCCCCGTTGCGCTGACACCATGGCGCCAAGAGGCCGGTGTTGAATTATTGAGCTCTCTTTAAATCGATTGTCAATGCAGTAAAATGCAATTACATTCGGCAACCACATATCATTTTAGTAAAGTCATTACAAAATATAATTTTCTTACCTTTGCTTTGGAAAAACGGGTCTAAATAGATCACAACAGCTGGGACTCCAAAAGTAGATTCAAAAAGTGTAAGAGACAAATTATATTTGTGATATATTGCGCTGCCAGTCTGTAATCCTCCTGGACGACCAAACACCATTCAACTATGTTGTTTTTTAAATCACAAATGCTGGTCGGCAGCAGAGAGGGAGACGGACCGAGCGAGGGAGGGAGAGAGGCTGGAGGTGGGTGGAGGGGTGGAGATGAATGGGAGTGGTGGGTTTATTGGGTGCTGTCAGGGTGGGTAGATGGTGGATAAATGTCTTCCAGGGCAGGACGAAAATAGCACCTAATAGAGAATGGCATGACGCACAACCTCTGCGGAAAAGCTTTCCAATATCATAATATCATATTGGCAATAGATGAAACCTTTACTTTGCCAGGTTACATTTCAGGCCTGATTTATGATCTTGCGCAGGTCCTCGCTCGCTGATGATTAAGGCAAGGCGCCTTTACTGCAAAGGCTTGCTGTATGGCGGTGATGTTGAGAATGTGAGCCACGCACACAGGATTAATTTCCACTTTATAAGTCCGCATTACACATTCAACTCTGACGCCTTTTCGTCCGAAAACATCAATCTACTCGCAAGTTCTTGCGTTTGATCAATATGATGTTGAAGTAAACTTTTAGACATTTGGAAGCAGCACAGTTACAGTATTTTATTATATCGCCTTCCTGCACTACTATCTATTACTGTTAAAGATCTATGAAGGAACCCAGTTCCGCTGTCCATGGTGCTGAACTAACATTTCGTATTTCTAGGTGGTTTAAATCATATTTAAACCGCCCCCTTTAAAAAAAGTATTTGCTTTGGTGAGTACTTCTCTGAGATGTTTAATTTCAAAAAATGATGTTGTTGAAGCTGAGCTCAACATGTGCACGTGAAAACAGCAGAACAGCAGGGAAAGCCTGTATTGCTCATCCATCGAGAAAGGCTTTCACTGATGCAAGAAGTGCTTTAAATTTGTAATTTTTTAATGAGGGAGGAAATAAAGTTACCTGTTTAACAAAATAAAATAAGTTTGATCTGATATAAATTCAAAACAGAGTTTTTATATATCTTGCACATGCCCAGGATCCTAATATTACCATACAGTTTAGCTCATTGAAATCTTTGGCAACAAATCTTTGGCCCAACTCAATGTACAGTTCATGTTTTAACCTGTGATTTCAAAGCAAATAATTCCTATAGATATACGATTTATCCCTTCTTTTGGAGCAGTTCAACAAAGTTTAATGTAAATAATCTTATAGTTTTATGGCATTAAATAGATTTTTTCCGTTAACTCATAATGTAATTTATCTAATTGATGTAAATGATGACAATGACTTGCTGAAATAAGATAAGTCACTTCCTTGAATCGTGACATGTCCTCTCATTTAGTGCCTGTGTGGCTCTTTTATACAGTCATTGGTCTGACAGCCTGCCAGAAAGAGGGCAGCTCTAATTGGAGGGTTTTCCAACTAATAAGCCTCAGAAAGATGTCCACAGTGTTACATGTCAGTAGGCAGACAGCCAGAAAAGCTCCGCAAGGTGGTAATAATTCCACATATATGGCTAATGACTCACAATATGTCAGAGCCATTCAAACAAAAAAAAAGTGCTCAGATGTAGCGATGCAACTGGTGTCCTATGCAGTACACCAAACAAGGCAGACTAAATAAATACAAGCAGCTCTTCAAAAATGGTTTGGGATGCCTTTTCAAAAGACCTTTGTCGCCATCCAGTGGCTTCGTCAAGATTTACGCAAATCTGAGAATAAGTTGGCAAAAAAACATTGAAATTATATTTTAATGGAGCTTCACAGACATTAACACATACAAAAAAGGTTTTCTGGGTGTTAAACATCTAACAATCTATTATTTTACAAACATGGTTTTAAGGTATAAATGTCACTTGTGATCATAAATTTGCAACGGCCTTTTCCAGCCCCTTTCATCAGAGGATGCTTACACTAGTAATAATACTTATAGTGTCAGGTTTTATTTTCAGTGTCATGAAAATCATTTAAAACACTGAGTACTGACATAAAATCTTTTTCTTTAAAGGGAACTGCCTTTCAGAAAGAGTTAAATCCCATCTAGGCAGAAGGCCAGATAAATGATCCAATAACATGAGAGTCACAGCAAAGAACATGGAATATCATTTATATCGTCTTTTCTGTGATGATTTCCTATAAAACACTGCCACCTTCTGGTCCTTCATAGGAAAAGCCTTACAGGGTTAAAGCTTCATAAGACTAGCCAAGGCTCTTGGTTGTTTATGTTAGAGGAAAGACAGAGGCAAATATCTGTTCAAATCTGACTTTGGTGTTTTGCATTATGGGGGCCTTCTCTTTTCCAGCTGATATCCTCTTATGGGTATGCAGGACAAAAAAGGATCCATGTCGTCTCACAGTTATTGTTTCAGTATTCCTCTTAGTCTTAGACATAGTTATTGAGCCTATAGCCACTGCTGGAAGCGGAGCAAAGCGAGGGAGCATGGTTGCCTTTCAGGGCCTCGGGGGGCCTGTAGGGTGGAGCAGGCGGATGTAAGTTGTTGAAGACAGGGGGAAGATGTGATGACTGACCCCTCTGCATATGGGAGGGACTCTGCCGTGACCTGTCGCCACTGCTGCTCCAACAAAGCACCATTCCCCCGGCCAGACTGAGACAGGCCGAGGCGTATCCGAGATACACAGCCAGTCCGATCTCATACTTCATTCCACTGTGAATTAATGGGTTGTAGAAATTCTCGATGACCTCGTTGGTGGTCCAGGACACGGTGACCAGGCAAAGAAGCCCAGCACAAAGAAAACAAATCCCACCGCTCAGGACCAGGGGAGATTTAATCAACGAACCCCGGGCAAAGCGGGTACATTTCATCCCAGTTACAGAGACCAGAGATGCCAGGACTGAGGTGAGACAGGAGATTACCATGAGCGCCCGGGCAGCCTGATGTGGAGAGGGAAACAGTAGACGACTATTAAACTTTGGACTATAAATGAACTCTTACTTTAACAGGTCTGGGCAATGAACCTGTCAATTAATATACTGCTTTTTAATAAGTGCAAACACTCATATTCTAGCCTATATTAAGAGTTATTGTCCGTCCCTATTAATAAATATCCAACACGTTACACTAAATTGAGACTATGTATGTTTTTCTGAATAGTGAGTCTGTTGAGTTTAATAATAACAGCAGGATGACTAAAAACTCACATAAGAAAATATATTCATAGATATTAATATATAATAATATTAGATATCTATAGATAGATAGATAGATAGATAGATAGATAGATAGGTAGTATAATCTATTTATTATATTAATAAAATCCAGGAGTGTAAAGTGATTAAAGCAACATAAATTTAATATTCAAGAGTCCTTAAAAGAACAGGCTTCTTGACCTTCCACCTACCTGCCCATCTTAAAACTTTATTCTAAAAGTGAATATGTACTAATGAGTTGGGCTATAAGTATTATTTTCATTAGTATTTAATCTGATAATTAAATAAAACTGAAAACTTCATATTTAAATTGTTCATTGTGCACATAAACGCCTAACTGGGTGTAAAGGTGGAAAATAACCATATAGCTATAAAGTTTCTGTGCAGCATGCTAATTGAAACTGTGTATTGGAGTTACAGAGTTATGTTAACATGCACGGTTGCTATCAAATGAATTTAAGTTAATAATTTTATATTATTATATGACAGGTTAGTAACTGGTTTTGTTTATGAGATGTCAGAATTCCAAAAAGGATTTTTAAAAAGATGCTTACTTCATAATGATCGACTAAACTAATAAGGTTTTCAGCAGGTTTTCAGATAACTTATTATGAAAAAAATAAAAAATAAATAAAATAACCACCCTATATGTGTTTTGAGATTTCTGCTCTTCTCATTTCTCTACATGTTGGTGTTCGTGTAGTACCTGCAGGTCGGGTGGCAACGCCAGCAGAGACCTGTACAGCTCGCACTGGTAAATACCAGTGCTGCGCCAGACACACTCCATCCACAGGCCCTTCATGTACCCGGTGGCTGTGATAATGTTACCATCCACATGAGCTCTGCTGCGCCAGTGAGGGAGCAGGGTTGCAACTATAGTTCCTGTAAACCCCAGCAATCCTAAGAAGAAGCCAAGGAGCTGAAGCGCCATGCTGGCCATGATCGGCTCCTTTCAGAGAGATCCTGAAACGGCAAAGTATGAAATTACCGTCAGTAAAAATATATAAACTCTAGTAAAAGGCAGTTAGCAGCATTTCAATGTCCCTTAAAACACGATGACAACTACATTGGATTCAGATGTTTCATAAAAATCAGCAAACATAAACCAATTTAAATACATGCCACTTAAAAAGAAAACTTTCAGAACAAAACTACTGACTGTCCCGCAGGCTGAAATGTGGCTGGATTACTCCTCTTATCGCAACGGTTCCCAGCAGTACAGTAATTCCACTGAGCTCACATCCAGTCACAGAGTCTGAGTCATTCCTCAAGTGTCTCTCCCGAGTGTGGGCACAAATAGCTGTGGAAACTTTCAGTATTCTGGCATCCGTCTCTGGTGAGTGGCAGGTGACTGCATGTGTAACTAATGAGTGCGGTGTTCAGCTTCACCTGTTTAACGCTCTCCTCTGGAGGGCAAACCACAGAAGTCTATTTGTTAAGCTCTTCGCCGCCCCTCAAGAAGGCAGAGAGAGAGGAAATTAAACATTTACAGAAACCACCCAACCTGAGAAGCACCGCTATAAGCCACTAACTTTGAAATTTTTCACAGCTCTGCAGGGTATTTGAAAGCGAAGGACTGAACGACTTGCTGACAGAGCCTCCAGCCGCTGGGCCCCAAACTGTGACAAGAGAGGATAGCAGTGACTGCTGTTGTACTAATTGGCCAAATTATGTTATTTTTCAATGAAAATTTCTGACCTGACATCCTTTGGCATTTAGTTTTACATTTGCAAATGAATGCTGAGCCCTAAAAACACCATAACATTCAGCTGTAGGCTACAACTACAGATCCCCTACATGAAAAGTGTGAAAAGGTAAAAAACATCCATGCTTAATCATTTACTTTTGTTCCCTAGACTTTATGTCTCTGAATAATACAATGTGGTAAATAAACGGACCAACAATACTATTAATTAAGGGTGCCTTTTTGCTCCCGCATGAATAAAACTGACTTTAAGTTTCACACCAAAGACCAAACTGTGCTTATACAGACCCATTGTTTTGAATTCCTCAGAGAACAGAAGCTGTTTATGAAGCCTGATTATTGTGCAGTGTTAGACCTGGTACTGCCGGAGCCTCTTAAAATATCACATACACACAAGCTTCCTTGTCCTTATTTAATGATTGACTATGCTGAAGGCATAACAATTAAGCAATACGAACAAAGGCAAAGCTGTGACAAGTGTCTTGTTTAAAATTTGCTTGCCCTGAAATTAGTCCAGTTTAGTCTTTGACTACTCTGCAAACCACACTGCAATACTTACAATATAAAACTCAATGACTGCTGCGTAGCCTTACCTGTACTTCTAACATTTACTTAACAGACTCCACATTTAAATACTCACCAATAAGAGGACTACAGGACCATCATCACAGGTGTCCAGATGGTATACTCGTCCTGAGATGCAGAGATGTACTTCCAGATAAACAGGGCCTTTGACTCCACATTGACCAGCTCCTTCTGTTTCTGCTCTTGTCTGGACAAACAATCTGTGGATGTGTGTTTGTGCGCTGCAGGACTGTCAGCTGCGTGACTGGCCTGTTTTAGATATCATCATCTTCATCATCATCATCATCGGCATTATCCCTGTCAGTGTCGGCAGCATCATGTCAGAGATGACATGAGAGACAGTCCCGCTGCTGGCTTCTTGCTCCTAACAGATAAACAGGGCCAATGTCAAATGTGGACCTGGAGGCAGGGCAGCGCTGCTAAGCTGAGGCAGACAAAACAGACATTGTCTTCGCTGGCTGTGCTGTTTTTGTCTCAGTAAATCAGTTCTGCACCTACAGATCTGTTGATAATAATAATAAAAACAAGAATAAATGAATACAGAATTAAATCCAACAACAAACTTGTAGAGGAATGGTTAATGTTTATTAACTGCTATTATAAGCAATTTAAAGAGACAAAACAAAGCTGCAGTCAATTAAGACTGTTTTTAACTACGTGACTTGCACATTAGGTAATTTTAGTTAACTAAAATTAAAACGATGTGTAGATGTAATTTAGCTACCTTAAATAAACAAAAAAATACAGCAAATGTATTTAGATTTAGTCAACACTACCAGCATGAGAAGGCTTTGGCTTATATAAATCTGTGTATTGCAGCCTATATAAAACTAATAATAGAAAGTAATGAAGATTTAACTAAAATGTCTGAAACAAACAAAGAAAAAAAACTTACCTGAAAACAAAACATGAATAATAATGAAACTAGTGGACAATAACTCCACTTGTACATACTGTAGGGCAATCCAGGAAATGCTGGTGAATTCATTGAAGTTTGAGCTTCTCTCTCCGTGCTTTTCCTCATTCTGTGTCCCAAGTTTAACCTGGCGTGACATCCTCTTGGTATACAAGAGCATTTTCCCAGTCTGTCCCCTGGGCCCTTCATACAACTCTCTGTGACAGCTCTATAGTGAAGAGATGATCCTCTCCAAGGTCTGCCTGTGGGAGACGCCATTTGAATGTGGAACACTTAATAATCTTAGTTAAGCAGAATAATCCTGTGATTAGCAGCTGAGCACGGGTGGTTTGTTGGACAAAGTGCTAGAGGGTAATGTGTGTAGTACAGGGCATTCTTTTTAAACTGGTCTTGCCTGTGCCACACATATTTTGTCAACACACTTTATGTGGATTAACGACGAAACAGCCTACAAAGTCACATATCTAAAAGCCCCTGCTTACGCACAAAACACACACATAGACACAGGTGTTTTGGCCATTTGGCTGATTAGACCTCTGATATGGGGGTTGAGGTTGGTTGGACCAATAATGGGAGTTAAGTGAGGTCAATAAATTCTATCAGCAAACCATAATGGGAAAAAAGCACTGGTGTGGATGTCATACAGGGTCTTTCAGGTCACAAATCTGTATTTACTGCACACATTGTGGCTTCTCAAAGCATTACAATTAGTTATCACGAAAATGATAACTCCATTTAGCACTGGGCCACACCTAAACTTACATAAAACCACTTTGCTTTCCTGACATGTCAAAATGTCTGTTGTGAATATGGTCTATATCAGGGATATTAACCTATTTTACATTGTGGCCCACATACCTCCCACTTTGATCTTAAGTGTGATGGACCAGTGAAACTCACCCTTCTGTCAGTGCAAAGAGGTTTATCTACATATGTAATCCTTGAGATATCTTAATATGAGAAAAAATTTAATTTGTCACCATGACTTGTTGGGCTTAAATTTTTAGAAATGTGTAAAATTACAGAAACAGTACTGGTATCCCAAACTGTTTCTGTTAATTAACAGAAAATGCAAATCAGCATTTTTTTATTTTCATTTTTACCTTGGACGCATTTTGAAAAACTCACTAGTATATAGTGAGATAATGTATTTATTATATATATGTATATATTTACTCTTCGAAAGTCAATTTACTAATACAAGTAAACATACTACCCCCCCACCACCACCAAAAAAACAAAGACAAAAAGCAAAACAAAACACATAGAGACATCACTAATTACTTTTTGCCACAATACTTTGCCAATTCCAGTCCCCAGGCCTTATATTTGATACCCAGGGTCTATTGGCTTGATAATCGGGTAATGGAACAATGCCACACAACATACATAAAATCTGGAACTGAATGTAGGCTATTTAAAGGCTATATAAAAGAACTGACTGTATCATTTAACAACTATCTTACTATTATGTATTAAACATTAATAATACCTTATTTCATTATTTAATAATACCATAGAGGAAAAGTCTCTATGGCTTTCTGGGATAACAGCTAACAGCTAACCCAGCTATTAGCTACAACTAGCTATCTGCTACTGTTTTTCAATAAGCAATTTTATTATTTTTTTCTTTTTTCGTTTGATTTACTTACAGTCTGTGCTGACATTTGCTTTCTTTTTAGCCTTAGTTTAGTAACATATATATAAAGGTGTTGTAACTTAAGGATATAAATATTTTCCCATCCCTACCGCACAGATGAAAGGAAAGAGAGAGAGGGGGCAGTTTCGCGCCGTTGTCTGCTAATGTGTCATTAAAGAAAGCAGCTAGGTTAGCTCCCAATACCTTTACTTCCAGGATTTGCTATTCACGGTTTTATTTGCACAGGTAAGATTTTGTAATGCCAGCTTGTAGCCCTGTTAACTCTGTGTCTGAATTTGTGACTCTTGTGAGGCTCAAAGTTGATGAAAATGTAGTTTTATGAGTTACTTTTACCTAACTATGTTAGCTGACTTTGTGTTAGCCGAGTGTTTCCCAGTCATATTTGCTTATCTTTTTGACAGTCACTTAGCCAGCGATGACAATGGTCAGAGGGAAGCCATTGAGAAATGGTGGTAAGTATTCACAGACACATACGCCTTACAAGAAGAACCGTAATGGGCCCACACCTTCTAGGACCATTATGACCCGCAGCCAGTGCTCCACTAGCTGCACCAGCTTCTTCAGCAGGATCCCTGCAGAGGTGTTTGACATGATCCTAGACAAACTGTCTGGTGAGTTTCACCTATTATTTTGTACCTGTAACACTGTTCCCCAATTAATATATAATAGGAGCTCTGTTATTTTGTAAGGGGCTTTTGGGTACAGCTCAGACCTTTTGTTTGTATAACTTGTATGAGGTGCAAAAGCTATTACCAACATACATGTGTAACTATGTGTAATTTTAAGCACTACTTTTACAACACTTTCTGCAATAATAGCTCCATTCTGGAATGTCCTGATGTAATTGCATTTTTGATGGATGAAAATGTGTTTGTGTTTTTTACAGTGCTGGAGATCAGTGTGTTCAGCATGGTATCAAAGGAAATTACTAGATATATTGCAGACTACATCTCCACTGTGGCCTGGAAGAATAAAATGATCCTCCAAAGCTTTCACCACTCCAGCTGCATTGAACAGAAATCCACCATTGGACACTACAGAGACCTCGGTATTTCAGTGTTTTGTTTAGTATAGCTCTTCTTGCTGCTTTTTAAGGTACCACATGTATTTCTGACAGCCTCAGCTACTATTTTAACATACCATCGAATGGTAATGTGACCTCGTGTTTGATGTCTTAGGTGTGTTGTTCAAGAGGTGTACCCTGTTGCTACCCACAAAGGACAGGTTAAAGTTTATCTTTAGCAAGATTTCACAGGTAAGAAAGGGGCAGGTGAGATGTCAGGCTAGAACAGAATACTGTAACTTTTTAAATGAGTTACATTTATTTTTAATTTTCATGAGTGAAGGCAACAATACATCTGGTTTTTGTAATGTGTTGCAAAAGTTTAAAAAAAATTAAACTTTGATTGCATTGCTGTTTTATGCAGCACAATATGGTGGCATTTTAACAGGTTTATTAATAATAATTATATGTATGATGTCAGGCAATTAAATATTACATATAATTTAGCATGATGGTCCTAATTTGTCTACATGTATTAAACATATATGAAATGTTGCTATTGCAAGAACTGAATATTTGCAATCCCATTTTATATCGTTGGAAAAAAAGCCTCTCTTATTGTTGTCTTGATATGTTTCAGATTCCCTGCTTCCTGTTGGAGAAATGTGTAGCACCAGACTGCTTTGCTTTCACCAGCTTTGGAGTCTTCCTCCAGGTGAAGACCCTCATGTAACGACTCTCATGTTTATGAAACCTGAATCTAATAAAAGGAAATAACCAACCAGAGCCCCAAAATGTGATAACATGCAAAAGATAAACTTTTTAGCAACAAAGACTATAAATATGTTACAGAGATCTCACCCTAAAGTTACTGTACAATAGGCGGTCTTGCTCAGGTAGTAATAATAGCATAAACAGTAAGAGAAAAACACAGTACTTTACGTAAGGAAATCTTTAGCTTGGTGTGATTAATTTTTGTCTTTAGTTTTTCAGCTTGGTGTTAAAAAAATATCTGTAAAAAAGAAATAGAAATATTGAGGGGTGTTTTATTGATTCTTTTACAGACTCTGATTGCAGGGTGGGATGAGCTGGAGTGCCATAGAGTATTCAACTTCCTCTGTGATCTAACAAACCTGCAGCAAAAAACTGAAGGAGTCATCACTGCAAAACCAGGTGTGTGTGTTCCAGAGTTATCCAGAGAACAAAGCAGAAATATGATGCTGAGAACAATCCATGGCTAAAGCTTCAGTTACAGCCTCTTGCTGAGCCTGTGTCTTTTGTGATGGTCTTCGGGAGTTATGGATAAATTTGTATGTCCATTACCAGGTGTGAAGTGGTATCAGGAGCTGCAGCTGCGGCTATTTTGCCGTCAGGTTCTTTTGGACCCGTGGCCGAACCAGCCGGAGTGTCATTTCTGGCTGATGCAACTCCTGAAGCCTTGGCCCTTGGTCAGCCAGGCCCATTTACTGTTCATCCTCTATGGTCCTCTGCTGCCTGAGGGTGAGATAACGTATTACTGAAATATTAATGCAGATGGATAGTATCGACATTATGGAAACATATTAAAGTCATAACTATATCCTGTTATTTTCAGTGCAGCTTTGTAAATTCTAGCATGTTTTAACCTGAAAAAGGGCTTATTGCTCCAGAGAAAGTGTCAGCAATGATTTTTTGAAACAAAGCATAAAAATTAGAGAACCAGAAAACCACTTTCAGTGTTGTGAGGTGGCACAGGAGACCTGAGTAGGTTATGCTGGTGTAGTACAATTTTTGACATTTAACATAATCATTTTTGTTTGTTAAAGTAGTAGTGGTGCAACGGATCAAAAATCTCACGGTTCAGATCGGATCACAGTTTTAAGTCACGGATCGGATCAATTTTCGGATCAGCAAAAAAAGAAAAAAGACAAAAATTAACATTTACTTATTCACTTATTGAAGTATTTTTTGCCTGTTAAAAACATTCAACTCAAGACTCATTCCACGCAATTATTAAAAAAAAAAATTATGGTTCAATATAGGGCAGTATAGGTCTTTGTATCTACCACTCAATTCAATTCAATTTTATTTATAAAGCGCCAAATCACAAAAACAGTCGCCTCAAGGCGCTTTATATTGGAAGGTAGACCCTACAATAATACCGCTCATTATATCGCACTCCGCTGTGATATAATGAGCTGTCACGGTCACGTAGCTTTCCGTTGCCCTGGAGGTTCACCCATTTGTAGTAGTTAGGGCAACAGAAGATGCCTGGGACAGTTCAGCCATAACTTTAAACTTTTCCTGCTCATACATGCTTGGAACGATCTTGCCACTAAAGTGGACGTGCAACGGGATATCATAGCGTGGCTCAAGCACGTTCATCATAGTTTAAACCCCTTGTTTTGCACAACAGAATACCCATCTGCAGCTAAACACCGCAATAGCTTTTGTAATAGCTTTAGCCCGGTCGGACTGGGCAGCAAAGGGCTGCTTAAATACCGCAATTTCCTCTGCTCCTCCACTTGGACCGTTAGCGCTGGCCATAACTATCGCTTGACAGACCCGCCACGTGCACCATACACATACATTTTTTCTTCTTTTTCGAATCTTCGGATCACGTGCGTGCCGAACCGTGGAGTGGGATCGGTTCGGATTACGGATCAACCGTGACCCGTTGCACCACTATAAAGTAGTGTGCAGCATTTAATGATAAATAACTGAGGTGTACTTCTTCATGCAGGTACACTCGGCTGGCAAGATCTGGTGGAGAGGGGGCTTCCTCACACCGCTCTGTGGCACTTAGCCAAGGCCATCCTCTTGCTCTTTGGCAACCTACAAGTCAAAGGCTGGAGCACTGACTCGATGATCACAATCATGGAGGAGCTCATTGGTACGTTTGATGAATAAGAGAGAGATGCACACCGTGAGTTACAGATTCCCAAGCAATAAGATGAATAAAGGATCTGTTTCAAATCTATGTAAAACATTTCAGTTTAATAATTGTAAGTAGAAAAATCTCATATAGATTCCCTCAAGTGATTGTAGATGCTGGCTATTTGTTTCCTTGCTGTCTCCAGTCATTCCTCATCCGTGGCATGTGGAGAATGTAGCTCGTCTTTTGGTGCTTTGTGGCAGCAATCTCTGCTACACTGTTCTGGCCAGCAAGGCTCTCAATGGACGACTCCTTGAGATCTCAAGAATCATCGTCTACATCATACTGGTGAGAGAAATAATTTCCTGCTTTTATCCTAAGGTATTTATACTTCGTTTATAGTTAAGTTTGGTATATTAGAAAATTATTGCCTTGTAACTGAGAATGAGCAGTTGCTTGAGCCAGAACCAGCATGTGTAAGACTAAAGGTATAGTGAGTTTTGGACGAGCTTGCCATTTTTGCAAAAGCCACATTAGAAGGAAATCTGTGTGTAAAAATAACA